TCGGTGCTCCTGCAATTGCAAGTGCGGTATTTCCCCCACAGACCACCAGGGCAGCCGAGAATAACTTTGTTCAACCTGAAATGACTCATTTAATCATCCATAACGTTATGGAACACATTAATTAACTGAAAAATGTTGCATAGTGTCCCTTTAAAGCTCCTGGTAAATAACAGTAGATCTAACTTCAGGCTTTCAATCAAAAAAAAAAAAAAAGAAGCATAAAAAATGAAGAATCTTATCTGGAAAATTATTCTCTTTAGAATAAAAACAAAAATTACATGACTTTAAATAAGAGACCTTTAATGTCAATTATTGTTATGCTTCCATTCTTTGCTTTCACCATTTTGACAGTTTTTTTGTACCTTTATCATCTGATTCAACTCAATAATGCTTAACGAGAAAGGGTCCAGTCTACTCTTTGAACTTTACTGGTTGTAAAACGCTTTTTTTTTTATGACCAAAGATTCTGTATCCTATATCTATATAATGCAACAAGTGCGTCTTCCCAACAGCCAAATCACAGCATTGATTGTCATAGTTTAAGGCGGTGTTCTGTCAGATCAGCATACCCCATCAGACCAGTATACCTTTAGTCAACACCTGTTTATCCCTTTAGTTTTGTACGAAAAGTACACTTTAAACTGCCTCAACGGGCATGTATCTCTTTAGTCATGTGCAAAAAAAAAACAACTAATTCCTTACTTTTTGGTGTTTTTTGAAATGTAAGACGATCTGATGTTATATTGTTTTTTTGTATATGACTAAAGGGATGCACGCCCATCGGGATAGTTAAAGTGTATTTTTCATACAAAACTAAAAGTCTAAATGGGGATAAACTAAAGGAATAAACTGGACTAACGGACGCCTATGCAAATCTAACGTCTTGCGCATGCGGATTGACTATTGGTATGCTGGTCTGATGGGGTATGCTGATCTGACAGAACAGCGGCACAAGTTCTTCTGGCTGTGGGGAGTTATTTTGGAGGTCAGAGGCACAGGTAGTGCCACTTTATGTCAGCCTTGCTTCTGTCAGTGAGCCCCAGGGCCAATTCAGGGGCCTCAGAAGGCCAGATTCTTAGGCCGATTACGTCACAGCATGGCGCCGAGGTCTGTTCGGATTGGAAGACTCCTCATTATGCAGTAAAAGGTAAATGGTGCCGAACATTGGTGAATGTTAATGCAGTTTAATATAATCCAAGTATGTAAATAGTTCCGGGTCTGGCTGTTATTTAAGGAAAGATTCTAATATATCTGCAGTGTGATCTGATACGGTACTGGTGTTGAAGCTCCTCGAAAATGTAAAAAAATAAATATAAACAGCAGTGAGAACTTCGGTATTCATTCTTTTCCTGCCTTGTGTGAAAACTCTCATGGTTGCTAGGCGACAGAGCGTACAGGTGGTGAAAGCCACAGAAAGGTTGGTCCTGTTTGAATCCATGGCCAAAACTCTTCCGGTCTCCAGATAGACCAGGTCCTTGAAGGATGCAGTCTTTAAAATCGAACACACCCAGTGTGTGAAAAAGTGCTTGCTTCTACTTGCATGCATTGATCTGCGTGCTAGCATTACAGGGGTCATAGCATGATTCCATAGGGTATTTGGTGCTGGTCCTTAAGGTCTCTTAATTGAGTGTGTAACATTGGTTAGGCTGAAAATGGCATATTTGCTGTTCTATCAGCCCTAACGCAAGCCTGGTTAAAAGCCCTAGAATGAAATGACAGGTTTTCTTCCTTTTATGGTATGCTCATGAATATTTAGATGAGCTGTGCGCTGATTGGCTGGTTTACAACGAGCGAATCTGCTGAGCAAAGACGCATCATAGCAACAAGCACTCACTCACTGAAACACTGAAATTGTTGAAATGGTAGGGTGACCAGACACCCTCTTTTTCTCGGACATGTCAAACTTTTTATACCTAAAAAAAATGTGCGGGGGGAATTTCAAAATCTTCCAGGATTTTGGTCGACTACAGTGCAGCACTTAGCCGAAACACCCCTGGTACTCGAAACACGGCGTCAGCTCCGGGTCTGATCCAGGAACCCCGGTGGACGGAGGCAGGAGCGACCGAATGGCAGCCCGGTGCTTTCCCCCTCCTCACGGCTCTCTGCTGATGTCCTATCCAGTCAGCGGCCGAGCAGTCGACACTCCCCATCCCCCCAAAGAAATAAAAAAATACTTCCAGCTTGCGGTTGTGATGGCCTTATGGTCGGAACAGCCCCTCGTTTAAGTAAAAGAAGTTTAGCAAATCCTGCTTTGAACTGTCCATGATTTTGAAAGCTGTCTTTGGTAAAATGCTTAGAGCAAATGAACAGCTGAGCATCAAACTTTGCAAAGATCTTCGGATAAGCAAAAATAATCCATGCCTGTCGAGTCTTCTGATCCTTGGGAAGACTGTGAAAATGTTCATCTTCCTCCATTCAGCCTGGAACACTGCATTTACACCCGTGGTTCTGGCTCATTTTCAACAGAGAAACTGCCTGCTTTGTAATTCTTGTAGAAATAAACCCAACTGTAGGCTAAACAGCTAAACTGATGTCTTACATCTACCTCTATTCATGTTCTCGGGCAAGTGAACCAGTGGGCTGGTCTGTATGTACATTTCAGGGTGTGACAAAAGTACAGGCCAGAACCAAATAATGCAACATCCGCCAGTTTACGTCAACTCGGGGATTCATTTGGATTCGCCCGTTTTATGGCGGGAGTTTACAATTGTGAGATTTTCAGAGAAAGCAGGTGTTGATAGGGTTTGAACTTCTCTGTACGTCCATTTCACCCACTGAACTATCATTATTCATCTGACATGACAATGGAAACTCGGTTTTGCATTCTATAACCCCTTTAACTCTACCCTTCTGTTGGCAGCAAACCTGTTTGAAGCGCATTACCTTCACCCGAAGAGTTGGAGTGAGAAATGCAGTGTATTACTCTTGTTAAATGTAATGTAACCAAATTAAATGCCTCAACAAGTTGCAAATTGTGTTTTGTTAAATACCACAATAGATGCATAGGCTAGGTAAATCTTCACATTGAACACAGAGAACTTTATCGATTGAGCCCTTCTGTCATGATTTTTGTCTACAAAAGGCAGGGGTGGAGGGGGGGGGCAGTATCAGCCCAAAGATAAACCAAGTGGGAGTCTTATTTAAAACTGCCAGTGTAACATATTGGTGCAATTACAAGAAGTGTAACTAAAGAGGATGTATGGGGGGAATAGTCTGGAGACGAAAAAAAGAGACAGCAGCAAGGATCTGGAATATGAAGGACGTCAATCTGCGAAGGCTCCTGCAGCCCAGGGTTGTCGCCATTTGTCACTTTTAGAAGCAGCGTCTGTATTTACTATTCATGAACCTGGCTGTAACACAACAGAATTAATAGCGCTATATATACCATGACGCTAATGTAGCACCCACCTGACCTACAAGGCCTTACAAAAAGATTCACATCCCTTAAACTTTTCACCTTTTATATTACAGTCATAAAAATCATGAGAATTAATTTAGTTTTTATACAACAGACCAACTCTAAGCTGTGCATAATTGTTTACATTATGAAATAGATTCCACCTCCTTTGCTAAGACAACCCTAAATAAAAGCAAGAGTCATCGGCTGCTTCTCAGAAGTTACCTGAATCAGTCAACCTGTTTGTAATTTGGCCTCAGTATTTGGATTTGATTTATTATTTGATAGGGAGCAGTGTAATCTAATAAGTTAAGAGAGTTAAAAAAGTCAGAATTAGCCAAATAATCTTTTTCATTTGTAGTCTAGAGCAGGGGTCTTCAACATTTTCCAGGCAAAGGTGCCCCAAACTGATGGCGAGATGGAGCAGGGACCCCCTAATTATATATATGGTATGAAATTGTTTTATATCAATCTGGTTCTATAGTCACTCTATTACAGATGAAGTCATGTAATGAAAGTAATTTCTCCCTGGGATTATTAAAGTATTTCTGATTCTGGTTCCTGGTTGATGGAACAGGTGTTGTGAATGAAACGGTGCCCAGTTTGAATGAGCTCCTGTGTGTCACTGAATGTGTGCGTTGATGACTGAAAGACATATTCTGCCTCCATTTATCTGTTTGAATTCATAATAATGTGGATTTAAAGACATTTCAATTACTTGAAAAAAATTGCAGGGGGGAATATAAAAAAAAATGTCTAATCAACCAAAACTTTTGCAACCCCCATGCAGTACCTCCGTGGAGCCCCTTTTGAAGACCTCTGGTCTAGAGTATAAATCCAGCTTTTCAATGAAGGCCTCTTTAAAGAAAGACAAACAAAAGCCATGCAGGGCCACAGGAGGAAGGCAACAATTAAAAAACACACTATTCCAATGAGGAAACATGGTTTTATAAAATAGACAACAGCATTTAATGTATGTACTTTATTTTTATAAATCCAGAAGTGTAAAAATCATTTTCCAGTTATCACAAAGACTTCATTTCTCTAACTAACTAACAAAAACAGTCACCATGATGGCAGAAGGTAAGAGACATGAGGATCGGCAGCATTTTCTCTGAGCTGCCGTCTGTTTTAAGCTCTGCACATCATCAGCACAAGCAGTTAAAAAAAAACCCTCTCCACATTTATTCATCAAGTTCTCTTCTTTGTTGAATGGCAGGAACCCTAACGGAGGGATGCTGTTCATCTCCTTGTTTCAGGCATGACTGAGTTATTGGGAGGAGGAGCTTGATGTCCGATTGGACGGTTTTCCCTGCAGCTCCTCGGCCAGCCTTCACCGTTACGCTTTGCTCCACGGACTCCTCCTACTGGCTTCTGTGATATCTATAAATATATCTCCCATCATGAGGCTGACAGAAAAACCATCCTTATTCGAGGTGAACGTAGAGCTTTAGTCTTCCCGGTTTGTTTTCCATCCAGCAGTTGCAGTTCACTTCCTCTCATGCATGGTTCACTGCCGGGCGCCACATATCATATTTTCTGCTGCAGCCGCATAACTTTAATTACATTTGAGCTGAGTTTGTTGTATTTTCCTGTTTTTTTCTTTTTTCTAAAGGTCAAGTCTCTTCAAATTATTATCTAACTGAAAAACAACGGCCCTAAATTCCAGGCATGCCAGTCTGTTTTCATCGGCAGGAAATTAGAAAGAAAACTGGGAAGGTTTTGTGAGGAATACCTTCCAGTCTGGATCTGCTGCCATCTAGAACAGAAAGGGGATCAGTGCTTTCCTGCTTTTAGGATAGTCTTCAAACTTAGCAAGATACCATCTGAAATACAAGAAAAAAAAAAAAAGGATGTTCTTTACAATGTGTACGTTCACCCAAAGAAACCTTCCCCACTGAGCAGGCATGTTATTCTTACTTGTGGTGGGCCACAGCCCTGTTGGCCAGGACCACTGCGGTGAAGATGGAGAAAGCTGAACTGTGGGCTGAGTGGCCCGCCAGAGCAAAGCCGGCCCACTCGGTTATCTCGCCCAAGAAGTTGGCTCCGGACACGTACTCAAACATTCCGCCTGCGGGGTGGAGGACAGGGACAACCGTTGATGTTTGATGGAACAGACAGCGGATGTAGCTTTGGACCCGGCTGCTGTGATGAGTTTAAAGCTAAAGAACCCTCCATCTTAGACTTGAACAGGTTTAAGGTGAGGGGAAAAGTTTGCTAACATCTCTGCAGACTTCACAAATCCAGAACACAAATGGTTTAACCTTCAGGCTGGTGCTACAAAAAATATATATGCAAGAACAAGCTGATCATGCTGAGTCTCTGATGACTACAAGGAATAACTCCCAGCCTGATTGGTCAGCTATATTTACACAAATACCTCCATGAGCACTGGATCTATGCCTTAAAAATCTAATATGATTTGTTTCCTACCGGATCAGATTCATCAATTTTGCTTCCTCACTTTACATTTATAATGCATCCTTAATAAAAAAAAAAAACTAGCTGTTTTCTTTCATCTCCTCTGGGAGGTGAACTTAATTAAAAGGACGACATACTTAAAACTGCAAAACATGCTTGTAAAATGATTATGTTTCACAGCAAACAATGAAAATATAACATGCTAAATGTTTGCAGCTGGTGGTGTTACACAAAGAGCTACTGATGTCACTCTGAGCTATGGAAGCTGGTGTGAATTGATGGAAAACAATCCTGACTTCCCAAAAATTACATTTTAATAAACCAAACCAAAAAACTTTTAAATCACAAGATCTGGTACTTTCATTGCATGTGGAAATATCTGCAAGGAAAACATCAAAACTGGCAGCAAACTTCCCAGTTTCATGCTGCCACTCTGCATTTAGGCTGAGTTTAAACATGCCGGTAAGGCGAGGTAAGTTTATTTTTATAGCACAGAGTTCAGAGACAATTCAAAGTAGTCTACATCAGAAAAAAATAATCATAATTTAAAAAATGATAAAATGTTTTATAGTATGTATATGTACTTGTTTCTAAAGAAAATCTGAACTACTTCCAGGCAAAATTAAAATAAGTAGTTATTAATTAAATAAAAATAGTAGGAAAAATATGCTTCCAGATTTGATCTGTTTTGTTAGTATGAGGATGAACTTGTGTGCATGTACGGACAGGAAGCAGGCATGTTTCAGCATAAGCTTGGCTCATCTAGCTACATATTTACAATCGATGCAGCCATTCGATCTCATGGTGGGCGTTCCAAAAAATTCACCTCAGGTTTTTACCGTGTAACCTTTAGACAGACTTCAGCGCTATCAGCTATCACAGCTGTACAGATGTTTGGTTAAATCAGGGGTCGGCGACCCACACTGCTCAAAGAGCCATATTGGACCAAAAAAAACCCCAAAAAATAAATCTGTCTAGAGCCGCAAAAATGTAAAAGTCTTATATATGCCTGGTAACGGCCTCTAAATGTATTATCCCTCTATGGAAATGGACTATGTGGGCTTAGATATATAATAAGCATTTATGATTAAATGCAAATGTCACAGCAGCATGAGGTGAGGGAAGAGCAGTGAATGCTCTAACTGCGTGCTGCTTCATCACCCTTCCCCACAAGGCTTAGGGTTTGTTGCATTGATGAAATAATAGAAACACGATAAAGGAATCTCTCTATGGTGGACGTGTTTCTGTTGGGAGGAGTTGATTGAGTCATGAGGAACCAGGCAGGAACTGACATCCATCAGAGCACAGCTCTCTATCCCACATTCTCCTTCATCACCGTTCCTTGGTGTGATTTATATTTTCAGGATTTAAGGAAAAATTGGAAGAAAGTTCCCATCCCTGCATCAGAGCGCTAACTGTTTGATCTGTGGACTGTTTTCCATCCTTGCAACAAAACTAGCAGCAGTGTTGGAGATGCAAGATACTTCTTAAATCTATCTTTGCGCTCCCCTAATTCATCCAGAAGTTCTGCAATTGCACTTTTTCTCTCCCTCCCAGCTTGATGGTCGGCTGCATATTTAGATTGCATTCCCTGGAAATGCCTTTCCAAATTTTTATTTTTATTTTTTGACAACCTCTCATTACAAAGTAAAAATGCAGGCAAACCTTCCGTATTGATAATGGAAGCAAATGATTCGCTCCATTCTTTGAATCCTCTGTTCTGATCAGCTATCTTCTTTTTTTCTCTTTGGGATCCATGGTCCGAGACACACCCACCACTTTTTTTGCCTGGCACCGCGCAGTGCTGGTTGCAAGTTATGACCACTAATCGCTGTGGCTATGACGCAAATTATTGGTTAAATATATTTATTATACAAATGTTTACAGCATTGGAAAACAATTTTTGTTTGACCTCCTGCACACATATTAAAATAAGCAAAAACAATTGATTTTCATAAATTTTTGAAAAAGATGCAGGGAGCCGTAAGGGGGCGCTAAAGAGCTGTATTTGACTCCGGAGCCGCGGGTTACCAAGGGTTACCAACCCCTGGGTTAAATTAAGATCCTCACCTCACATGTTGAAGTGTCTTTATATTAATGTAGTAGGAACATTTAGGTTTGAAAACTTTCAGCGACCAGAGCTTAGAACAAACAGCTTAAACTGAGGCTCTGTTTACATGACAACAATCCACTGAAGTAAAGGTTAGTTTTAATTTCTGTTAGAACGAAGTTCAAGCCCCACTCCCACGGACTGACATTCTGCGTCCCTGAGCAAAGACCTTTAACCCCACACTGCTCCAGCCGCCGCACAACGGCAGCCTACTGCTCCCCAAGGGGATGGGTGAAATGCAGAGAGTTTATTTCGTTGCTCTGCACTGTGACGGTGTAATGACAATAAAGTTAAATTCTATTCTCTTCTACCTGCAGAATATTTTAATTGGATCTCTGTGCACAAAGGCCAATGTAATTTCCCTGCCACACCAGTAGGAGGCGATATGTTCCTTGAAACTTTACAACCCACTTGCTCAAAAAGGCTCAGACTCGAATTCGTACATCTGGCAGAAATTCTATGGAGGGAATCTTTTTTTTTACGTTGTTGCAAGCAAAGAGTGTTTTGTAAATAGAAAACTGGAATAAAATTAGTCTGAAAATGAAATTTTAATAAAATTCTTAACCACAAAAAAAGGTTTTTAGAGTAAGTTTGCTGTTTTGTTAGTTTTTCAATTTTTATTATTTCTTTTACAGATTTGATATTTTCTAATGTTTTTTTTCAGATTGAGTTTTACATTTTGCATTATTTTCTGGAAAGTGATGGGTCAGAGAAAGTGCTCTCATAAAGACCAAAAAGTCAGCTAAAAAAAAAATCTCAACTTTTCAAAAATCAGAATAAATGTTGCCATAGGTCTAGAAAAAACCAGGCGAGGTGGATATGTTCAGACATACACTGAATTAATAAAAAAATGTAAAAAATCTGTCAGACCTTTTAAACTTTATTCATGGTTTTAAACAATCTCCACGTCTTCAAATGTCTTTGTCATCGTTGACATGCGAACATCCTGAGCCAAATTAGTTCTTGGGTCCATTTGGTAAAGTTCTGATTCTAAACTCAAACATGCAGAGTGAGAGAAAGCCTTTACCTCTGGGAATCTTGTAGCCAGTCTCGCCGGGCTTCCTCAGGTTCCTCAGGATGTGGTCAGAATGGAGATTCATCAACCAGCCCACCAGCCAGAGAGCAGAACCTGGAGATGGACCCAAAACTGCTTTAGCAGATGTTATCAAAAAGATCAGCAGGAAGGTTTTACCGTTTTATCTGCGCTTTTCTACAACTCTTTCTACTGACCAGTTTGGTTCATGGAAATGTTTTCTAGCCTCCCTTATCCATGAACCTTCTTAAGCGAATCCAATGTAGATATAATATACAGTGATGGAAATCCAAATTTTTTGCATTTCTTTTAAAATCACATGTCACATTAGCATGCTAATCTAAGTTTTAGAGTCAATATAAAATGGTATTCATCTAATTATCTGTACATTCAAAGGAAATATGAGGTGTTTGAAAATGACAACCAATGTCTATCTTTTTTTCATTTTAATCCTTCTATCAGGATAATTATCATTGATGATGTGTGAGGTTATTATACCCTAATATTAGCTGCCTGTTGCGCTTTAGAATCGATGTTTTCCCCAGTGGTTTATCTTATTAGGACAGTTAATCTGTCCGGATATACAGTTATCATCTTCCTTCTGTAGGTGACAAAGATTTGGGAATGGAATGAGAGCGGTGTCCTTCAGCTAAGCACAAAGTGTGATATTGTGATATGGCTGAAAACATGGATGTCTCCTCATCTGCTAACATGTATGATGTAAAATGTAATGATGTGGCAGACTGGAGATGTATAAAAAGCTTCTTTAACTGTTAATCAAGGCCACTTCCTGAGAAGTGAGCATGGTTTGTGAGCAGCGGCCATTCTGTAACCCTTAGCAACGTCTCTGATCCCAGTAAGATTACAGTTTCTATCAAAATCGGTCATGTCTCCTGGTTATTTAATACAGATACGTTATGAAGTGTTATTTAAAGAGTTTGTCCCGAATTATCTCTTTTCAGGAAAGCGAACCAGAAAGAGAAAGCTTCAAGGTGTCGACACAGAGCTATCCCTTAACACCTCCTTCCATGGAGCTAACGCTGCTAACCTGCCACTAGCTCTTCTGTCACGTGGCAGCTGTTGTGGTCGCAAGTAGACAGAGGTTAAAAAAGAAAAAAGTTACATTTAGTGGTCATTTAGTCATTTAGTGGTTGTTGCCCCTCTAGTGCACCTGTTGTTAATTTAATTAACACAAAAGCAGCTGAAAGTGATTAACTACCCTCTCTACTACTCACCTGACCAAATCAATATCCCAGAAGTTTAATTAACTTGATGCTATACTCTGATTACAAAGTGTTCCTTTAATGATTTTGAGTAGTGTATTATAAATCTATCTATCATACATTTTTTGTATGATGGATGTCTTTGTGTCTAGTAAGCAAAGCATGAATAAAAAATCACCTATTTTATGCCAGTTGGAGAATCCCCCATAAATGTGAGGAAGAGCAGTGGAGTCCACAAAATAAACATGGCAGCACAGGAGGACATACGAGTAGTTGCTGCTACCACATCATTTGACAGAATCTACAATTTCACCTTTAAAAGAGGAAAAGCAATAGCATAAATGGGATCATTGCTCTGGTTTTTCATGGCTGCTATTTAATTTGTCACCTGGGTTTGCAAAAACCAAACTTTGGTAGGCGGGCACTAGGTGTCACTTTGCGACCCTCATTTCCCTGAACAGAAGATTTCTAATTAATAATGTGTGGGACTAAAATTGAGTGCAACTTCCCAACAAATTGGGCTGATACGTACAATTGTTTTCATGAGTGTATAGATTTTTGAAGCTGATATTGCTTTCTCTTCCTCCATTGGCATGACAAAATAAGAGTGATACGATGGTGATCAATGTTAAACAAATAAAAATTAAACATACAGATAAAGCAAACACCCAATGCATACTACCCTGACTTGGTCTATCGCATGAAATCCCAATAAAACACCTAAAGTCTGCAGTTGTAACAAATCAAAATGTATAACAAAGTTCAAGGAATGTGGAAGCTTTTGCAAGACACACTGATCAACACCATTTTAGCTATGTTTCCTGCATAGCTGTCGTTAAAGATGGCGCTGTGCATGCAGCAGCCTGTTACGTCGGGTCTTTGCTCTCTGACTGGCGTTAGAAGAACCACCTGTGTCTTAACACTAGTAAGACCAGAGAGATGGTGATCGACCTCAGGAGAAAACCCCAACCTCCCTCCCGCTAGAGCATCCAGGGGCAGGACATCCAAACTGTGGACAGTTTCAAATACCTGGGTGTTCGTGTCAATAACAAACTGGACTGGACTCATAACACTGTACTATACAGTATATACCCCATGCACCTTTGTTCTTCCTTTGGCACTTTCTTCTTCTCTTTTTGACTATTTGATGCAACGAGTAAATTTCTCAACTGTTAGATCAATAAAGTCAATCAAAGACAACCTATCATAAGGCGTGGGTGTATTTAGATGTTTTAGTGTTACTGTTATTGAAAACCTGTTTGAAACAAGAAGATTCACCTGTGATGAAACGAGGACTTGTAACCCAGTCTGCAGGATACTCAGCGTAATGACTCAGGTATCGAACCTGCATGTAGCCATTGTAGATGCAAAAGACAAAGGCCAGGGCGAATGAGAGGAACGGTGTTGCTTTACCTCCTCGAATTAGAAATGGAAATATGAGAGCTCTGCAACAGAAGATAAAAAATGATATTTACAGAGATGAACTTCCATAATACATAAATATAATCATATAAATATGAATTTACGGAAGACGATTAGAGCCAATGAAAAAATAAATAAAAGTTAACTGACTTTTAAATATTATTTTAATTTGATATGTGAAAAAAGTCACAATTCTAACATTAATCTCAGAGTTCCTACTTTGATCTCAAATTTTGGATCTTAATGTAGATGGGCACGATGAAGGAAGAGATGTGGAGCGCTCAGCTTCACTGACAAAGATATGAGTTGTTTGGGAGGGCCAGCAACACATTGGTGGAAAATGACGAAATTAGGCGACTTTTTACGTGCCAGAGGGATCCCCGGTGATGCTAATTCATTAATGGAAGAGCAGAAGGTGATTAAAACAAGAGAGCTAGTTTAGTCTCTAGACAAGGCTACAGCTTGATGCTAACATGTTTTTTAGCTGTCAAAATTCTGTCAGAATTCAGAGGAAAAAAAAGTCAGAATTCAGGGGGAAATTTTGAGATTAAAAGAAAGAATTCGGAGAAAAAAAGAAAGAATTCTGAGAAAAAAAAGAAAGAACTCTGAGAAAAAAAGAAAGAATTCTGAGAAAAAAAAGAAAGAATTCTGAGAGAAAAGTAAGAATTCTGAGAGAAAAGTAATAATTCTGAGATTAAAGTCAGAATTCTGAGAAAAAAAGTCAGAATTGTGAGATTAAAGTCAGAACTCTGAGAAATAAAAGTCAGAATCCTGAGATTAAAGGCAGAATTCTGAGATTAAAGGCAGAATTCTGAGATTAAAGGCAGAATTGTGAGATTAAAGGCAGAACTCTGAGAAAAAGTGTCAGAATTTTAAATTTAAAGTCAGAATTATAAGAAATAAAAGTCAGAATCCTGAGATTAAAGACAGAATTGTGAGATTAAAGGCAGAATTGTGAGATTAAAGGCAGAATTATGAGATTAAAGGCAGAATTGTGAGATCAGAATTCTGCGGAAAAAATGTCAGAATTTCTGAGATCAAAGTCAGAATTCTGAGGGGGAAAAGTCTGAATTGTGAGATTAAAGACAAAGATTTATGAGATTAAAGTCAGAATTCTGTCATTTTCCCCATATTAAACTGAAATAATATTTAAAAATCAGTTAACTTTTTGCAATTTTTTCAGTGGTTCTAATCTTCTTCCATAGAATTAGTTACATTTTCTAGGAGTGAATATACAGGACTGGCTCAGAAAATTAGAATATTGTGATAAAGTTCTTTATTTTCTGTAATGCAATTAAAAATCATGAAATGTCATACATTCAGGATTCATTACAAATCAACTGAAATATTGCAAGCCTTTTATTGTTTTAATATCGCTGATTATGGCGTACAGCTTAAGAAACCCAAATATCCTATCTCAAAATATTAGAATATCGTGAAAAAGTATACTAGTAGGCTATTCAACTAATCACTTGAATCGTCTAATTAACTCGAAACACCTGCAAGGGTTTCCTGAGCCTCGAAAAAAACTCGATTCAGTAAACTAAATCACAAGTATGGGGAAGACTGCTGATCTGACTGCTGTCCAGAAGACCATCATTGACACCCTCCATCAGGAGGGTAAGACACAAAAAGAAATTTCTCAAAGAGCAGGCTGTTCACAGAGTGCAGTTTCAAAGCACATTCACAAAAAGTGGGTTGGAAGGGGGAAATGTGGCAGGAAACGCTGCACAACCAAGAGAGGTGACCGCAGCCTTAACAGCATTGTGAAGAAGAGCCGCTTCCAGAATTTGGGGGAGCTTCAAAGACAGTGGACTGAAGCTGGAGTACAGGTATCAAAAGCCACTGTTCACAGATGTGTCCGGGAAATGGGCTACAATAGCCGTATTCCCATGGTCAAGCCACTTCTGAACTCAAGACAACGGAAGAAGCGTCTGACATGGGCTATGGAAAAGAAGCACTGGACAGTTGCAGAGTGGTCCAAAGTCCTCTTTTCAGATGAAAGCAAGTTTTGTATGTCATTTGGTAGTCAAGGTGCCAGAGTCTGGAGAAAGGCTGGAGAGGCGCAAAATCCAAGTTGCTTGAAATCCAGTGTGAAGTTCCCACAGTCAGCGATGGTTTGGGGAGCCATGTCAGCTGCTGGTGTTGGTCCACTGTGTTTCATCTAGTCCAGAGTAAATGCAGCTGTGTACCAAGAGATTTTAGAGCACTACATGCTTCCATCTGCTGAAAAGCTATAGGAGATGATGATTTCATTTTCCAGCATGATCTGGCACCTGCCCACAGTGCCAAAACCACCAGTAACTGGTGTACTGACCATGGCATTCCTGTCCTTGATCTGCCTGCCAATTCCCCTGACCTGAACCCCATAGAGAATTTGTGGGGTATTGTGAAGAAGAAACTGAAAGACACCAGACCCAACAATGCAAATGAGCTAAAGGCCGCTATTGAAGCATCCTGGGCATCCATAACACCTCAGCAATGCCACAGGCTGATTGCCTCCATGCCATGCCGCATTGATGCAGTAATCTGTGCAAAAGGATTCCCAACCAAGTACTGAGTGCATTAATGGACATTTTGAAATGTTTTTGTTTTGCTGTTATAATTTTTTTTTTACTTGGTCTGAGGAAATATTCTAATATTTTGAGATAGGATTTTTGAGTTTTCTTCAGCTGTACGCCATAATCAGCTATATTAAAACAATAAAAGGCTTGCGATATTTCAGTTGATTTGTAATGAATCCAGAATGTATGACATTTCATGATTTTTAATTGTATTACAGAAAATAAAGAACTTTATCACAATATTCTAATTTTCTGAGACAGTCCTGTATATCTAATGGGTTTATTACTTACCTCTGAACGTAGTGGCAGAGGAACATGGCGATGAGGAGCTGATTGGGTAATAGAGAAGTTTTAGATGAAGATGTCCAAAAAACTAAGCATAGAGGCAACAACAGGGAGGGCAGTTCCTGAACGAACCAGGCAAACTTCACATTAACAGGAAACCCATATTTGCTCGAAGCATACCTTCCGTATGGGACTTTATGGAAAAATAAGCTAACGAAGGTGAAAGCTGCCATGAAATTCATTAAGTAAGCCATGCAGTTTAAAATGTAGAGCTCCTGCTCCTCCGAGGAGAACAGCCAGGACAGGATGGCGTCCATGACGACAGAAAGAGGACAAAGGCTGAGTTAAAATATAACACTGTTCCTGCTACAAAGCTCGTTTGAACTGTTTCAATCGCTTTTACTGTCACGCAAAAGGGTACAAAACACCACTGCCGGGTGAGCGCACGCGAGGACAGCCCTGAACCAATCACAACTCGAACGATATTCTGTCAAACGAAATTATCCAATCACAACACTCAGATTTGCATCCGCGTTACTTAAGCGCTAAATAAACATCGCCCCCTTTAAATCTCCCATGAATAGTTGACTATTATTTGATTAAAACGTCAACTTAACAAACTGACTTTTTATATTTTGTAATACGAAAAAATACATATGTTATTTTTAGAAACTGGCATGTATATTGTTACGTTTTCTTTTCTTTTTCTTTTTTTTTAGAAACGCCCCTATCTGGCTATGCAAAGCTAGTTAGCCAATCAGAGGGAAGTGCTTCTTAAGAGCCCACCTATCAGGTTGCCCTATAAACTACACGTGAAAACAGCTGCCATATTGCGAGTGGAAAGTATTGGAAAACTGAAAAAGAAGCAAAAATAAACAAGTAACTGATTAATCTTTCTTTTTATGTATTCACCAATTAGTATATCCTAAGGGATGGTGGTGATTATATATAGTATAATAAACAATATCAAAAAATTAGATCAACTTCAATTGTTGTGTCCCTTACTATATACCAGATAAAGTTGATTAACTGCTGTTTGACCCTCTATTATGGTCTGTGCGTTGCAATGCTGTGTTCTTTGGATTGTTTCCTCTTGTCAGCATAACAATGTTCAGAAAAGCGAATACTGGCTCTTTTATCTGTAAGACCTTGGCAGCTCAGGAATTTGGAAGTCTTCTGACAACAGAAGCAAACAAACCTTGTAATATGTAGCTCCAAAAATCGTAGATAATCCCTTATTTACTGAACTCTGACAGACTGGTGCAATGCAAAATGACATTAATAGTTTTTTAGCTTTTACAAGGAAACAGTATTTAGCTTAGACATTATTATTATTATTATTATTATTTTTTTTATTATTATAACACCCTGACAAAGAACTATGGGTGATAGTTTTTATTTATTTATTTACTTATTTATTTTTTACATTAAAAACCCAATCCCCCAGCCTAAATGTTCAAACTTACAAAATATTAACATATGACCATATCTCTATATTTATCTTTCTATTTATCTCCCCCCCCCCCCCCCCCCCCCCCACGGTTATCGTCTTTAAATCCTTTTAGCCATCAAAAACTCAATTTATTCCGGCAAATTTCACGGCCACCTCTAAAGGGTCCTGATTCACGTGCGTCACATATACGACACGTTCCGGTGATGCTCCAGTAAAGCAGCCCATCTTCTCCTGGCTGTTTTATCGATTCGCAGGTCTTCTTCCATCGCTTGTATATCACCACGTTGTTCCGTAGACTTTTCTCCAGAGTTCTTTGCTGCTTCAACATGGGGAAAAGAAGCCGACAGAGGCAGAAAAACCAGAATGCTGGCAGAGACGAAAGAGACAACGCTGTAAGAGTGCAAATCCCGCTAATATGTGCTGCTCAGTCAGCCACGCTTTAAGCTCATTTAAAGTAAAACTTGGACATGCAATACATGTCTAATAAGTCAGACTTAAAAAAATTCAAGTGTATATATATATATATATATATGTGTGTGTGTGGTCTTGTTTTACCTACAATGTGAGGGAAATATTTTGTAAAATATCCTACATGCGAGGACTTACAGGTACATATGGGGACATTCAACTGGTCCCTATATGGTAAAGTTCTGTTCTTTCAGTTGAGGTTAGGTTTAGGACTAAGGTGTGAATTCATTTTAGGTTAGGATTAGGTACATCTTGGTAATAGTTAGGGTAAGGGTCTGGGTTGGGCCATATAAAATGAATGCAAGTCAAAGAAATGTCCTCACATGTCATGAAAACAAAGCTGTGTGTGTATTTGTATATATATGTGTGTGTGTGTATGTATATGTGTGTATGTGTATATATATATATATATATATATATATATACACAAACTTCAAAGCTTTATTTATCCTTGGCTAATAAACAGACACCCATGTGTTCTAGGGTTGGGGAGCAGGCTATGCTGAGATCATCAAGGAGAACAAGCTGTTTGAGCACTACTACCAGGAGCAGGGCTTAATCCCTGAGGGAGAGTTTGAGCAGTTTATGGAGGCCATGAGGGAGCCGCTGCCTGCAACCATCCGCATCACTGGATATAAGAGGTGAGTAACCATTCCTGGTCCTGTTTATGGACATTTATGTGCAAGGGTTCTAGCCTGATAAACCTGACTAAATGTGAGATTAAATGTGTTATTTAGTCTGGCCCCGATGAATGAGACATCGGAAGATTGTTGATGAGAACAACCCGTTGTTTTTCAAACCCTTGCCTGTGCTTAATGGCCAACGCTCTGACCAATGAGCGCAACTGACTGTAATGTAATAAGCGCCACAGGAAGCCGGTGGGGAGTATAAACAGTAAGCCTGTCGGTAAAAGGCGAATACGTCCTTCTTAAAAATGAATGAACGTAGAGCATCTTCTTGCTCACGTTTCAATGAAAAACCCAAGTCTAATCCTTCCAACACTGATTTCAAAGCTGAGTCAAATGAGAACTGTTCAATAGTTGTAGCCATCTTCCTTGTGTTTTCTCCAGCATTGCACAGCTTTTCGTCACACCCTCAAAACCCCGCCCGCTTTGCATCCAGAAATTCAAAAAACATCCCTGCATTGTGATTGGCCCGCCAGTTCTAGGGCCTGGGGCATTGATCGAGGCTAGACCACTCGCAGGCAAAAATGATGTTGGCCGCTGGCGGGCGGGGCTAGTTTACTAGGCCACAAGAAAATTGACAGGATTGCAGAAGCAACAGAAGACCATTACATTTCCTACATCACTTTTTCAATTTTCTTTCGAGCTCAGTAAAAAGGAATTGAGGGCATTTCTAAAAATCTTCCCACATATTTAATGTACAGACAGTATCACATTTCTTCACCCCCCCACCTACCTCTATCCTTTTCCAGCCATGCTAAGGAGATCCTCCACTGTCTGAAGGAAAAATACTTCAAGGATATTCAAGAGCTGGAAATCGACGGCCAGAAGATTGAAGCTCCACAGCCTCTCAGCTGGTAACATTTTTTTTTTTTTTACGTGATTTATTCACGTCAAAACTCCAATTTGACTGCACGTCTTCTTTGAAGGTATCCCGATGAGCAGGCCTGGCACACTAACATGAGCAGGAAGCTCATCAGGAAGTCTCCCCTGCTGGAGAAGTTTCATCAGTTCTTGGTCAGCGAGACCGAGTCTGTGAGTGAACACTTTTATCTCCTGTCGATTAAAACTTTTTTCTTTAAACGTTTAATGTGATTTTATTGTGTGTCATTGAAGGGTAACATCAGCAGACAGGAAGCCGTCAGCATGATCCCTCCTCTGCTCCTGAAGATAGAGTCCCATCACAAGGTGTTAGTAAAGCTAATAACACATAAAAAGATAACAGCTTCATGTTATCGTCCCTTTCAAACTGTTATTTGCAGGTCTAAATCGGCTTTAAGCCTAAATACTGACCTGCTTTACTGTTCAGATCCTGGATATGTGTGCAGCTCCTGGTTCAAAGACGGCTCAGCTGATCGAGATGCTTCACTCTGACATGGACGTCCCGTTTCCAGGTAACCACTAGGAATCCGCTGCAGTTTAACCCACTTCCCTCTTATCGTTTAATGACCTACCGTTTAATCCCTCGTCTCCACCCGTTTAGAGGGCTTCGTGATTGCCAACGACGTCGACAACAAGCGCTGCTACCTGCTGGTTCACCAGGCCAAGCGTCTCAACAGTCCCTGCATCATGGTGGTGAACCACGACGCCTCCTGCATCCCCATGCTGCAGATCGACTCGGACGGCAAGAAGGACATCCTGTTCTACGACCGCGTCTTGTGTGATGTCCCCTGCAGGTTAGGAGACGCACGGCTTAAGAAGCATGTCATGGAGAGTGTGGGGTTTGGTAGTTTATTGGTCAAAGGTCCCATGATGGAAGCATACTTGTGATTAGAGTCCTGCACGGGTCGAGTTTTACTAACCCGCACCCGCCCGAACCCGTTAGGATGACTACCGAACCCGAGCCGTCACCCGTGGATATCTTCAATTCAAACCCGACCCGACCCGCTGATATTTAACCCGCAACCCGACCCGTTAAAAAATCAAGTAATAGGCTATAGTACGCTGCGCTGCAGAACAGCGCCATTAACACTGCAGCAGACGTGTATGCACTGACTGTGGCCTTTTTGGAGGGAAGCCCACACTGCCGGCAGGGCTTTAAGCTACAACAAGGGTGACCCCAGACAGTGCCTGATTAAAATAACATTTCTGATGTCCATAACAATAGACACGCATAAAAAAAAAAAAAATCGCCAACTACCCGCCCGCACTAAAAAAATATCCGCCCGACGCCCGACCCGTTTATTTTTATTTATGTATTTTTCACCCGCAAAAGAGCATTTTTGCGGGTGACCCGTCGGGTACCCACGGGTACCCGACCCGTTGCAGGACTCTACTCGTGATGTCAACACACGCTTGGCACGTCTGAAGCTGCATTTCACCTCCTGCTATTAACAATCTCTAGATAATAATATATTCTTAGTTTTTATATATAGTATTTACATAGTGGGGGAATAATAATTAATGCAGTCAGCTAAACACAAACCAAATCATCATTTTGCCAAATAAAACAAAAAAAAAATCGCCATCAGAGCCAGCGTTGCTTCATACAAAGCTATGCTGCAGATAGGGTTCCTTAATCAGGAAATGGGCCATATAGTGACACTTTAAAGTATAATGTTCTCTTCTTAAATTATCTTAAAACATACTTTCATAGAACAATGGCAATAGGAAAGTGAGCTATTAACTTAATGCTCTGAGCTCTGTGAGTGCTCCACTGGAAGCTGCTGCTGCAGTGCATGCTGGGACAGCTGTCAGTCTCTAGAACAGACAAGTCTGCTCTGATGCATGCTGGGTAAAGAGGGAGGTGCGAGAACAACATCCGGTCAAGTTGTCCGTTCTCTGTCTTGTGTTCTTGTGAATTGGAACACCAGAGCTGAGGCTGACGTTTCGCAAGCACGAGAGCGCACAAGTAGACATATTGAGAAACGACCATTGTTTCATCTTCTCCGCTGCCATCGCACCCTTGCTGTCATTGCATAAAGCCCGTCCTCTGACTGTCCGCTTCACTGTTTGATTGGCCAGGCTGATCTTAGGTGAACCAGCCAAGCTTTGAGTGGACGGTAGCTAAGAGTGGGGGAGGCTAGCTTCTTTTCCAAGTTGGAGGGAATCTTTAGCAGCCTTATTTTGGTTTTACGTGTTTTTAGATCTCCAGGTTATAATGCGTAATCTGGTTCCCTTCTGTCCCTAGTGTATAAAAAATAAATATTTTTTTTTTGTTTTTATTGATGGAGTTAGAACCGTCCATGCCTGCTTTTCAAGGCTAAACAGATTATCTCTAATAGAGACTGACAAACACAATTTTTTATTATTTTTTTTAAGGTTGATACCTTTTTATTGATTATTTTGACATGAGTCTCACTATCCTTGGAAAGTTTTGCTGTTTTTGTTCAGTTTTTTATTGGATCCGATTCTTTATGCTGAGATCGCTTTCTCTTCCCCCAGTGACACATTAAAAATCCCACAGTGAAAACAAATGTTACACGTCTCAATTTAAACAAAAAAATGATATATTGATGCATTAATGTCCGCCGCACATTTTCACCGACACCATATTTCACTGCCAGTGTTTTCAAAGGCCTTTAAATACAACAATAAACCAGTTAGGTGTTTATTTGTCCAGCTGTACTCTTTTATCTAATCAACTTTTGTTGTTAAGTAAGTTCAAATGTTTTTTTTTTTTTAGTTATTATTTCTGATTAAATGTCATATTTATTATTGCTGTCAATTAACTGGATGAACACATTGTTTTATTACATAAAAGTCCAGGAAATGTAATCCAAAGTCTGCACATGTAGCCTTTTACTTATAAACTCCACTTGTTGACTGAGGGGTAAAAGGGAAGTAGGTCAGTGACCTAACAGACCAACACACTATCCAGGGTTTTAGAAACGCTCCATATGGAGCCCCATTAGTTCATCACAGCGGGGAAAGAACTATATTTGAAGGAGATGGGATTTCTGCTCCGGTTCATCTGACAGAACCAGAGGATGCATTCTTACTCTGATCTGCTCTGGTGTTCTCCAGCTCCTCCAGTTTAACTAAACTGTCACCAGTTATAGGTGTATTTAATGATAACGGTAGGAAATCCCCACAAATACATGATTAAAGTGGGGCGTGCTTCGGTGGAGCAGTGGTTGGTGAGCGTAACCCATGTGCAGACGCCTTGGTCCTCGACGATGTGGTCTTTTCTATCCCTCTCTCTTGTGCCTCCTTTCCTGTAAGACTACTGTACAATAACGAGCCACTAGTGCCGTACAACCTCAGAGAAAAAGAAAGAATAACAAGGTTAAGAGAAGTTATTGGAGATAACATCCATAGAACGTTGGTGCTCTGTTTCCTGACTCCACCAAAGCATTTCCCAGAATCCATCAAAAAGCTTGATGGCAGTTCTTGAACGCTACATCATCAGCCTGTCTTCTTTTCAGAGCGAAGTGGCTTCAAAAGCTTCATCTGAAGAATAAGGGGATGATTTTCTGCTTTATCTATGGATGCTGATCAGGCTCTAAAGGGCAGATTAGACTTCTGCAACCGAACACATCAAATGTTGCTTGCGTCTGGTCGCGAACCAGTTTTGCTGGTATGCTTCTGGAGTGTACGTCTGTAAGGGACGCACAGCAGTTTCCCTCCAAAGAGCAAGGGGGAGCCTATTCGAGAACTTGCAAGAACTTTGACTGATTGTACTTCCGAACCTCCTCGATTAACCTTTCGTCGTAGTCGTCCAGTGTCGTTGTTCCTCGGGTTTTAAAAATGGCGTGCCCCGGCACCGACTCGAGAAGGACGACCACACAGACAGCCGGAAAGGCATACCAAGGAGCAATCAAAGCTGCTTTTTGTCTGCGCACTTTGGCTTGAGGTCTACACGGGTTTGCGACCGTCCGACGCGTAGTCAGGATTTTTTTTTAGGTGCGCGCTCAGAGACAGATTTGACAGTTGCAGAGGCTATGCTTCAGAAGCATAAATTGGCCTTTAGTTTCTGTGCACCTAGATCCTACTCCCTTTAGAGAACTGAAGCCAGAACAAATTTCAAGCTTTGAGCGAAGCCAGCAGGGAGCTGCCAAACACAATAGCAGCAGTAAGTGAGGATTTTTTTTAAAGAGGCTGATAAGTTGACTGGTTCTGCCTGTGTTCTTTAGTGGAGACGGGACCATGAGGAAAAACATCGATGTGTGGAAGAAATGGACTACCAGCAACAGCCTGCACCTCCATGGGTGAGTCGGAGGGAGACACCACGGGGATCAAGGAAGACGAGGAAATGTCTGTTTATGCAGCTCTAATTAATTTGGCAGTAGTAATATATGTGTGTGTTTCTAGGCTGCAGCTGCGTATTGCAGTGCGTGGAGTTGAGCAGCTGGCTGTGGGGGGGAGGATGGTGTACTCCACCTGTTCACTCAACCCTATAGAGGACGAAGCCGTCATAGCCGCGCTGCTGGAGAAGAGCGAAGGTAAAGGACACTTTCACACAGAAACTCTGTTCTCATCCTCTGGATTTATAAGCAGAACAACCAACCAAATAAAGAGACAAGTTCTTATTTGATGACTTTAATTAAAATCCAGTCTGTACCTGAGAAAGGGGGAAATAAGAGGCTACAGTTTAATAAATAAAACTTGAAACATCTGTTCATGTTTCTCTAAAAAGATATTTAATGTCTAAATCTGTTATTTGTTAGAAAGTGTCTCTGTGCTTTAATAGTTTTTAATGTTTAACAAATAACTTAGAAAATAAACCTAACCTTTGCAGGAGCACTGGAGCTGGTTGACGCGTCGGCTGACCTGCCAGGGTTGAAGTGGATGCCCGGGGTGACTTCCTGGAAGGTACTGAAGCTCGGGATTGTAACCAATGGTTTTTGAAGTTCATTGTCCAAAGGCTGAGCTGAAACTCTCTCCTGTTCTCTAGCTGATGACCAAAGAAGGCCAGTGGTTCTCTGATTGGGCCAATGTTCCCAGCAGCCGGCACACTCAGATCCGTCCCACTATGTTTCCACCTAAAGACCCAGAGAAGCTGGCGGCCATGCACCTGGAGAGATGGTAGAGATCCATACATAGAAAAGAGCTTACTGGGGGGAGGATTTGGTCAAACAGCAGTGTGTTGCAGTGAGCTTGTCACAGATATTTTTGATTTATGCCCAATATTGAAGCGTGGTCTGCGCTATGGTATTCCACAACACAAGAGGGACAATCAGGAACTAGCTGTGGGTCTAGATGTGGCCGAGGCCGTTAGGAAGTGGGGTCAAGTTTGTGCAACAACGGAGGGACATGAGGGTGAAAAAGAGCGGGGATCCAGGTGGAAAAAGGGTCCCATGGTTCTCGTGCACCTCGCTCTTCTAGCTGGTCCATCTTCACGAGTCGTTTTCCACAATGGCGGTCATACAAATAAAACAAGACGCTAAGGTACCAAAAAGGAAATATGCATGGTGTAGAGCGGATGTAGATTTGACAAATCAGAGGCCTCCGGTCTGCGATCACCTACAATTATGAAGAGGTGCAGCAGAGTGTCTGCGGAAGGGGCGGGGGCACATTTGCATTCACTGCGACACACATGCAGACGACCTGGTTTATGAGTAAATCAGCCGTAAAGAAAGAAGAACTGGGGAGCGGCCATTTTTGTTTTTTAACTCTGTACTAAAACCCCCTCTACATTGGACTACAGAATGATTGAAAAAATTTGGACTAATGGTATCTAGACTGTAGGTCTTCAACAGGGGGTCCGTGACCCCTAGGGGGTCCACGGAGGTACTGCATGGGGGTCGCAAAAGTTTTGGTTGATAATACTCTTTTATATTCCCCCCTGCAATTTTTCCACTAATTGAAAAGTCTTTAAATACACATAAACATGAATTAAACACACTGTATTAAACAGATAAATGGAGGCAGAAGATGTCTTTCAGTCATCAATGCACACATTCAGCGACACACAGGAGCTTTTCATTCACAACACCTGTCCCATCAACCAGGAATCAGAATCAGAAATACTTTCATAATCCCAGGGAGAAATTACTTCCGTTACATGAGTCCTTCTGTAATAGAGTGACTATAGAACCAGTTTGATATAACACAATTTCATACAATATATATAATTAGGGCGTCCCCGCTCTATCTCGCCATCAGTTTGGGGGTCCTTGGCCTGGAAAACGTTGAAGACCCATGATCTAGACAGTACAGTTTGGTATTAATTTGGGTTTTAAATCAAATTAGACCGATACATCGGGCAGATGACATGTTAGCTGCTTTCTGTTGTATCAAAGTAGGCTGATATGAAAATGCTTTCAGCCACCATGCCTTGAGATCTTGCATCTTTAGAGCATTTGCGCTCTCTTCCATTCTACAGCTATTATTGTGTTGTGGAATTTGCTAATAGAGGTTTCTTTTTTTTTTTTTTTTTTTTTTTTATAAAATCAGGAAACCGAGGCTGAAAACTAAGACGGCGAAAGAAATTATTAAGTTAAATAGTAGAACTATAGAGCAGTTTTGGCTATGTTGTCTACTAACCTGGACTAAAATCAGAAACTTAAATGCATTACAGAAGTATCATATTTTTTTAGCATGGACATTTTTTTGTTCTGCCCTTTGGTTTGGCAGAATCACAGGAAACTTTCATGCCTTTTCAAACAAGTTTGCCACAGACGGAGTGAGCCTGTTCGATGTCAGTTTCCTTTTCCGTGTCTCATTCTTTTCATATTTACAATGGTGATGAAGATGTTTGGATTTCTATGGTATCAGTTTCCTGCCTCTGACCTGAGCGCGCAATGAGGCTGATGTTCAGGGTTTAAACTCTCACATCCTCACTCCAAACCCGTCTGCCCCACGATCGACTCTGGCAAACTCCTCTCCTCCACTGATTCTCTCTTGCTTCAGTCCGTTTCTTTGACGGTCAACAGCGTTCTGCATGCTCCCTGTGCTGTTTGCTGCCGTTCCTTTTCCTCCAATGCTGGATGTGCTGTTTGCCGCGTCATCGCAAGTTTCTTTTTCGGTCGTTTTCAGCCGTAAATGTTTGGTCAAATTTTCTGTGCATCCCTAACATTTTCCCACAATAGCGTCCTAGCTCTACCTGAATGCAGTGATTCACATTGTGCTTTATAGTCTATAGTCGGGGTAACCAGTCTTGGAGCTTAGATTTTAGAGTTTAAAGATTAGGAACTGGGGAAACTGTAGTTTTGAAAGTGCCTATAGAATAAGATGCAAGTTGTCATGAATCGTTACAACCTCTGATCCATTTGTGAATTTGTTCTTTTGCTAGATTTGCTAAATCTACTGTATCTTTGAAGGAACCTGACTGCAGCATCATAGCTGGATTATGTTTATGTATTTAGCAGACTGGATTATCCATTCAGAGTTTTAGTTAGAGCTGAATTAACCTCAGATAGCAGACGTTAAAAAGCCTCCTCACTGCTTTCCAAATGAGAAACCAATAAGCAGCCTGAGATAGTCTGGGGGGGAAAAATATGCATAATGAAACCAAATGAGGAGGCAGCTGGATAAATGTTGGTTTACATCACCTGTCGGTGGTTTTAATGCATGCATGGTGATGTCATTTCTGCATCCTCCATGACCGCTCAGTGATTTTTATCTACCTGTTTAGACCTTTAGAGGGAGCCGTTGGTCCTCTTTTGGAAGCACCTTTTGTGAGGTTTTAGAAACCCTGTCTTCCTGTCAGTAGGTGGAGCTCTAGCTGTCAGAGCTGAGATTGATGTTTCTGTTTTTTATTTTTCAGTATGAGGATTCTGCCTCATCATCAGAACACAGGAGGCTTCTTTGTGGCGGTGCTGGTGAAGAAAGCCCCCATGCCGTGGAACAAAAGACATCCCAAGGTGCTTTAGACAAACACCTTAACATGAAACGAATCCTACAGAGCCTCCAAATGTATCCCTCAATGACATTACGTCTACTTTATTTGCTCCTGTAGCTGAGGAAGAGCGCTGCAGCCCAAACCGGAGGCTCCTCCCCAGCAGACGCCCCTTGTCCCCCCCCAGAGGGCTCACAGGAGGATATGGAGGAAGGTGGTCCAGAAGCGAAAGTAGACGAGGAGGCAGAACCTGCAGGCGCTCCTTTGGCTCAGGAGGCTGCTGGTAAACAGGAATCGGTGTGTGGGTGAGTTCTGTTCAGGCTGTAAATATGGCGGACGATGGCCTTTTCTCTATAAAAACTATTAAATTGTTCATCCATCTGTTCATCTTAAGTTTTATAACAAAAAAATAAATAAATGATCCATACTTGGAAAAAATGTGTCCCTCAGACCTCCACCATCCAAAAAGCTGAGGCTGTTTGGCTATAAAGAAGACCCGTTTGTGTTCCTAACTGAAGCCGACCCAGTCTTCAACACCATACAGTGAGCTCCTCTGTCTCTATAAGTGTTTTCAGCCCTTTAATCCTCTTCTATCTCTCTGTTTATTTCATTTTCCCCTTCTTATTCTCCCTCAGATCATTCTACGATTTGTCTCCCGACTTCCCCAAGCTCAACGTCCTCACCAGGACGCACGAGGGCAAGAAGAGACACCTGTACATGGTGTCCAAGGAGCTGCGCAACGTGCTGCTCAATAACAGCGAGCGCATGAAGGTAAAGTTTTTCTCCTCAGGGGCTGCTGGGGGATTTCTTTTTGCTTAGTTTATGATGATGATGATGAGGAGGAGGAGGGATTCCAATCTGATGCTTAGAGCTTCACTAGAGGAGATCCCCTCAATGTCAATGAAGCTTTGAATCCTGAGAAACATCTTTGTTTTTGGCCTTTTGTTCTATGTGAAAACAGACGAGACCCTCTGCTTCCCTTCACTGTAACACCTGTTTAGGTGGGGGATGAATACAGATTTAAGACGACTTTAGAAGGAAAATAATCACATGATGGCTTTCCTTTTCTCTCACTGTTTCTCCTCTGTCTCCGTTATTATAAGGATGGTTTATTTTACTTAAGTATTGGGTAGAACTTTAAATAAGCTTTTCTTGGTAATCTACCTACATTGCTGCATTTCATTAGGTCTGTGGTTAGCTGTGTTTTTGCATTATGTTAACCAGTAGCTGTTCCATTTACCATCAAATTTTGCAAATGTTAAGGTAAAAATTATTTAACAGCTTGTATTTAATTCAGGGGGGGAAAAAGTGATCCTGAAGTATTTTTGTGGCATGTCTACTGATTTAACATCGGTCTGATCTTTGCTTCCTCAGGTCATCAACACTGGGGTGAAGGTGTGGTCTCGTAACAGTGATGGAGAGGAGTTCGGCTGCGCTTTCAGACTGGCTCAGGAGGTAAACGGTCATTCTGGAGGGCTTGCCTCCAGAGCTGCCACTAAAGATTATTTTCTGAATCCATTCATTTGTGCGTCGTTTTCCCTCTAATCTATTAATAATGAGATAGCAACAGGTGCTTTAAAGATATAAAATCACATTAAAGCTGGCATTATTTTTTTTTAAATAATGCAACATCTTTATACAATTTTCACCTAATTGCTACTCTAAATCGGTTTCGTTAACAGCTAGTGACATGTTTCAGACTGAAAGCTCCAGTTAACAAATGAATCAGCGAATTTAGTTCAAGATTATTACAATAATTTATTAATCCAATAGTTTCAGCCCTACTTGTCACTAACTGACCAATCAGAAATCCCATTTGTCTGGAATTTAACCCCCCTTACCTGGATCAACTCCACCCTCTTTTTTTCCTTATATATATCTACTGATTAAAAAAAGAAACAAAAAGAAACAGAATCATTAATGAGAAGCTCCTTCTGTGATTTTGGTCCCGGCCATAAATGGAGGAGTTTAACATATTGGAGGCAGTAATCCTATTCAATAATTCCAATAAGTAATTCTTGGTCTACATTCAAAAACATCTTGCATCATGCTGACCACTAGATCCCAGAGAAACATGGCTGTGGCAGCATCATGCTGACCACTAGATCCCAGAGAAACATGGCTGTGGCAGCATCATGCTGACCACTAGATCCCAGAGAAACATGGCTGTGGCAGCATCATGCTCATACAGACGCCTCTCTTCTGTGGGAAGGTGAATGGAGCTAAATTGGGCAACTTTGTTAGAACCAAATACTTCAGCATTTTCTGGTTTTATTACTTTTGCAAAACTGTTTTAAAGCAGTGGAGATCATCTGCCCTCCTTTTTTCCTCTTAGAGCTGTATGAATGTTTGTGCAATCATTTTCACAGCTGCATAATATTTGTCTAAAGTTCAAATAAGGTGAAAACTGTCCCTCTGTCTACATCTTCCTGTCCTTCTCAGGGAATCTACACTCTTCAGCCGTATATTCGCTCTAGGATCATCAGAGTGAGCGTGGAGGATATCAAAGTGCTGCTGACGCAGGAGAACCCCTTCCTCAGCAAGCTGGAAGAGGACGCTCACGCTCAGGCCAAGAAAATGGGTACGACCTGCCAAGCCCATCCTTCACCCAGTATGGCTCCTTTTAGAATAGAAGGGAATCTATAGAGGGAATTTCATTTTGTTACAATATTGGAAGGCGTTAATGCTCAATTCTGATTTATTAGTAAAATCAGAATTTTTAAATTTATTTTTTTATTGCATTGCAGTTCACATTTCCAAATATATGCGACTTGTATGTAATCTCCTGTGTGAACTGCATTCATACAGCTTAAGTGTCCCACATGTGCAGTAGAGGATGTAATGACGTCACAGGCAAGTGTGCTCTGTGTTTACAGAAGTAAGCATGGATGATAGTCCTGGAGCGCATCTTAGCGACCTTTCCCAACCTTAAAAACTTAATCTTTAAGATGGGTAAAAAAAACAAAGACTGCTCTCCGCATTATCGTCCTCATAGTTGTTGATTTTCTTCCTGCTTCTGCGTAGCAAGGCGCAGAATAGTGACCTTTGTTGAGTGTTAATGACATTTAGGTCGGATGAATGCGACGTGGCTGAAAAGATCCGATTCAGAGTCACATAGTCGTGTGGTCTGGGTCGCATTGGAAAAATCGGATCTGTTGTTCAGACTGCCATGAAAAGATCAGATACAGGCCGCATATGGGCAAAAAAAATTGATTTTGGTCACTTCAGGCTGCTGTGTTAACATAGCTATAGTTGCAAAATAAGAGCATGTTTTGGATATAAACATTAAAAAAGAATTCAATTCAGAAATGATAAATTTAGAAACTTTTTTATTTATTTTTACTTTTAAAATATTTTTCTCTTCAAATTACTCTTTTAAATGACGGTTATATGAACCTTATTTTCAAACATCAAAATCTCTTTTGGGATCCGGCGTTCATTTGGAGTGAGGAGCAAACACGTATTTCTATTGGTTTGCATGGTCCTTAACTAATCTATTGGTCAATGTGCATCTAAACAACACTTTGTACTGAACTCAATCTGAATAAGAGAAATATGTAAAAGAATATTGAGTAATAGAATAAGTAAATGCAAATGGGAGAAAAGAGCAAACTTATTTAAATTTTTCATATCTGGATTGCAGTTCTTTCCAACATCTATTTACAAAATGTGTTTTTAGCTTGTAATAATGGAACAAACAACCCTCCATAGTCCACATCAAAAACCTGCTGATGTGTAAATTAATCTACCCTTGAGTCCTAATCACGTTTCCAGGCTAATAGAGCAGCTCTAGATGTAATCTTCATCTGTCTCCACAGGAATGGGCAGCATAGTGTTGAAGTACCTCCCAAACCCAAAGTAAGCCCTTAAATCCACTTCATTCATTGTTCATTTTTATACGTTTCTGAGGTGACCTTCTGCTTTGTGGTGCTTACACCTCTCCCTCTGTTTGACAGTAACCCCTCAGAGCCTCAGTGTCCCATCCAGCTGTGCGGCTGGAGGGGGAAGACGTCCATCCGAGCGTTCGTCCCCCGTAACGAGCGGTTCCACTACCTGCGCATGCTGGGCGTGGAGGTGTTCAGAGACAAGCAGGGCGTTGGGCAGAAAAGGAAGGATGGGGAAACTAAAGAGAAGCAGGAGGAGGCAGAGGATGATGTGGAAAAAGAGACAGAGGCAGCTGTGGAAAAAAAAGAAGAGTTGGAGAACGGGGATGAAAACGGATCAATGAAAGAAGAGACTGAGAACAAGGAGAGCACCAGCTGACGGAGGGACAGCAGACTGTCTGATTGGAGCTGAGTCCAAAATGTGCCTCTGGTTGCCACACAGCCAGCGTCTTCTGTTATTGACTCCTTTAGGAGATTTCTATTTGGCTCCCCCTTTAGGAGTCTGGTAAATGACTTGTGTTCTTTTAATATGATTTCTGTTAAGTTTTACTAACCCACTGAATGGGGTATTATTATTATTATTTTTATCATTCTTTCTTAGATACTACCAGTTAATCATCCGCTTTAATGAAAATCAGCGGTTCAAAGTTAAAAATGTTGAGCTGTAGCCCCGCCGTAGCTCAAATGGTCGCTCTTATGGGGCGTCAGCACCGTTTGTGTTCTAAAGCTCATCAGGGACATTAAACTGTTCTAAAGATGGTGTAAACCTGTAGGGCAGCAGCTTTTGCACTACTGTCCTTTTAATAGTTTTTATTTTTTGATTAACAACAAAATCGGCTGTTATTCAGCCTAATAAAGGAAGTTACAGCTTTAGGCGACATATTGAGTCTCTTGATGTCTGATCCGATGTGATTGCTGCTGTTTAAACAATAAAACGTCTGCTTTAGGCTACAATCCTGGAATCGAGAAGTTTTTTTGTTTTTTTTTTCAACTCTTTATTTAGTCTTTTTCATAATACAAAAACAAAAGAAAAAACAAGAAGAAAAAAACAAAAAACAAGCTGGGGGGAGCATCCGTTGCCATATTTACCAAAGTTTTTTTTTTTTTTTTTCCTCTTATGGTTTGGTTTTGGCCTTGAACATTGACCACTTCTGCCATTTTTTCTCAAAGTCACCTTCTTTAAGGCTCAGACGAAAAGTCAAATTTTCCATGGTGTATAGTTCATCTACAATATTCAGCCATTGTCCATGCCCAGGTGGGTCACGTTTCAACCAATTCCTTGTCAATGCCTTTTTGGCAGCAATCAGTAATATTTTGCAGAGGTAAATGTCTTTTTTTCCAATGACTTCATATGGCATAAGTCCTAGGTATACAAAGCTCGGATTTCGGGGTATAGATAAGCATAAAATTTCCTCTACTGTCTGAATGACACTGTTCCAGAATAGCTGCAGTTCAATGCATGACCAAAAGATATGGGAGTGATTGGGATCTACATGTCCACACCCTCTCCAGCATTTCTGTTGTTGCCTAAGTTGTTTTGATTTTATATATGGGGTGATAAAAAAACGAATTAGATTTTTCCATCCAAATTCTCGCCATCTTCTTGAGCTGGTTGAAGATTGTTGTGTTTTACACATGGAGGACCAGTCACTCCCAGTTAATGTAATGTTGAATTCTTGTTCCCACTTTTCTTTAACATAGAATGAATTTCTGCCATCGCATTTTTGGAGACTATTATACAACTTTGATACAATTTTTGAGGGAGTTCCACCATATGCACGTGTCAAGATTATAATCACCTCACTAATTCCTTCTGATAGGTCCCTGTTAACCTCTTTGTCGTAAAAGTGACGCAATTGTAGGTAGCGATATAGGTCTCTGTTTTCAAGATTGAATTCTTCTTTAACTTTTTCAAATGATTTAAATATTTTCCCTTCAGTGAGTGTACATATTGCCGTAATTCCCCTCTCCATCCACCTGATAAATGTATCATCTGACCCACTGGGGCCAAAACTGGGCATTTGAGATGGCCATATTAATAATTTACTATCACCTTCAATTTTGTTTTTCTTAACGACCTCATACCATGTTTTCAAAGTTTCGCCCAGAATAGTTCCCTCCTCTTTACTATCTGTTAAAATTTTACACCCCAATTTTGCAGGGGGTGGTATTTTACCAAGATTGAATTCGATTTGCTTCCACTTTGCGCTATATGTTGGAGAACACCAATAAACAACGTATCTCAGTTGGGCCGCCCAGTAGTATTTTTTAAGGTCAGGTAAAGCAAGTCCTCCTTTTTCCTTTTCTAACTGGAGTGTTCTGAGTCTTACCCTAGGTTTAATACCCGCCCAGATAAATCTAGATAAGACCTTATTCCATGTAGAAAATTGGGTTTCTGGGATCCTTATGGGGAGGGAGAGGAAGACATATAATAATCTAGGCAGCAAATTCATTTTTATCACCTCTATTCTTGTGCTAAAATCTAAGGCCAACATTGACCAACGTGTTACATCTTTCTGAATTTGATCACTTAGAATACCATAGTTTGACTCATATAGGTCTTTTAGATGTTGGGTGATATTCACACCTAAGTATTTTATTGATTTTGTGTCCCATTTAAGTTTATAATTACTCCTCATATTACTGCTAGGTGTATAATTCAGACATAGTACCTGTGTCTTTTTAATATTGAGTTTATATCCTGACATCTCACCAAAATTTTCCATAATGGAAAAAAGTTTAGGGATTATTATGTTTGGGTTCTTTAAGTAAGTGATAATATCGTCAGCAAACAGGCTTATTCTATGTTCCTCTGTTGCTATGTTGATCCCCTCCAAATGATCATTTTGTCTAATATCCTGAGCCAATGGCTCAATGAATAATGCAAAGAGGGAAGGACTAAGACAACAGCCTTGTCTTGTACCTCTTTTAAGGTTAAAGCTACCAGACAATGAGCCATTAATCCGCAACCTGGCTGTAGGATCCCCATAAAGAGCTTTAATACAGCTAATAATTTGATCATTGAAGCCAAATGTCTCCAGCACTTTATAAAGAAAAGGCCAGCTAACTCTATCAAACGCCTTCTCTGCATCAAGGCTAAGCAACACTGCACTGAGCTTTTTTTTGTGTATTTGATCTATGACATGCAGTGTGCGTCTGATATTATCTTGGGTTTGCCTGCCCTTTATGAATCCAGTTTGGTCTTCATTTATTAGCTCAGGGAGGATATGCTCCAACCTTTTAGAGATTATTGATGTGAATATCTTGTAATCTACATTTAGTATGGAGATGGGGCGATAAGATTCGCATAGTGTTTTATCTTTGTCTTCTTTTGGTATCACTGATATCACTGCTTCTTTCCATGACGGGGGTACTTTGGCGTATTTGAGAGTCCAATTCAGAGATTCAAGTAGAGTGGGCGTAAGGTCCTCCTTGAAGACCCTGTACCACTCATTTGGAAAGCCATCGCTCCCTGGGCACTTATTATTTTTCAAATTACTAATGGCTTTATCCAGTTCTTCCTTTGTAATCGGAGTGGTCAAAGACTCATTTTGGACCTGTCCAATGGAGGGAAGATCCAAGGATAATAAATATTTTTTGATCATCACTTCATCTACAGGGTCTGGATTAGAGTATAGTGTCATATAGTATTTTTTGAAGCAGTTTTCTATTTCTTCAGGTTTAAAAGTCAAATCTTTACTCAGTGGGTCCCTAATCTTCGATATACAATTTTTAGTTTGTTGTATTTTCAGGCGTCTTGCTAGAATCTTTGTTGCTTTCGGACCTGATTCATAAGTGGTTTGTTTAGCATATCTAAGTTTCCTTTCTAATTCATCTGACAGTGTTGCATCTATTTGTTTTCTGACATCCTTCAATTGTTCTGTTAGCCTCATATTATTAGCTGTTTGTTGTTGTTTTTCTAACTTTTTCAGTTCTTCCTGTAGTTTTTCATATTTTAATCTCTTTGCCTTAGTTATGTATGCCATCCGTGAAATCAAGTTCCCTCTCATAGTGGCTTTAACTGTGTCCCATAATATTGTTGGGTCAACCTCACTATTTATATTATCTTTAATACAATTTCTAATTTCCCCTTTAATTTCATCCATAGTTGTTTTGTTATTCAAAATCCCAATATTCATTCTCCACAGTGTGTTTTTACGAGCACTATCTAAGTGTATAGTTAAATAAACCGCATTATGGTCAGAGACATCAGAGGTTCCTATTGTACATTCTATCACCCTATGTCTGTCCCCCGCACTCATCAGGAAATAATCTATTCTAGAATGAATCTGATGTGTAGCTGAAAAATGGGTAAAGTCTTTCTCTGAAGGGTGGAGATTCCTCCAGACATCAAACAGGTTATATTCTCTCAGTAAAACATTGAGGCATTTTGACATAGGCAGTTTATGCTGTTTTTTGCTTGTTGTGTCTAAGGAGTAGTCCAAGACTGTATTCCAGTCTCCTGCATAGACTATTATACCCTCACTGAATCCGACAATTTTTTCAAAGAGCTGTATAATAAAATTTTTTTCACATTCCGGAGGTACATAAACACAAGCAAATGTGATTAATATGTTATCAAGTCTTCCCTTAACTAAAATGTATCTGCCTTCCTTATCTCCTTCTTCCTTAATTAGGTCAAAATTCAGCGTGTTTGACATTAGAATAGCCACTCCCCTTTTTCTGCTATTTTTACAGGAGCTGTAAAAAGAGTTTGAATATCCAAACCTCCTTAGCTTATTATGTTCTTTATTAGACATATGCGTCTCCTGAAGCATTACAACCTCTGATTTATTCTTTTTTAATTTTCCCAACACCTTGCTTCTCTTAATTGGATTTCTTAGGCCATTTACATTCAAGGATGTGATCTTTAAATTACCTGGCTTTGGCATATAAAAACTTCTAATGAAACATTGGTCTCCCCCAGAAAAGTATGTACTTTCACAAACACAATGAAATAACATAAATAAACACAACAGAACAGTGACTCCCAAGAGTGGAAGAGATCTAACTCTTCCAGGTGGACCCAGTTGGAGGGTCGAGGGTATAGTCTCTCCTCTAGAGAGGGCCCAATACTAGAGATGGTAATCAATTTTAACAAAAGAAATAACACCATCCTATAAGTCCAACTTAATCAAGCTACGATTGCTATCTCTCCCCCTGATCAAAAAATGAGGTCAAATGATTAATTAGTTAACAGGCGAAGTCCGACAAGGAAAAAGCTACCTCACCAGAATGTAGTAAATTTACAAGAGAGCCTCAGCTGTTCTCCTCTGCGTCATCTCTCTGAAACCCCTTCAGTTTCTCCCTCGCTCTCTGCGCCGTAGAGTTACTCCTCTCCTGACGATCTGATCTCCGCTCCCATCCGAGAAGCTCCGACAGTGCGGCGTCCAGCGCATGTTCGCTGTCCCTCACCCGTGGCGGGTCCACTGAGATACCTCGTTTCTGTAGCTCTTTCCTTGCTGCTTCTGCGCTGCTGTAGGTCTTAACTCCAGTGTCCCAGTGGATCCTTATGCTTGTGAAAGGCGTCTGAAAGCGCACTCCTTTCTCCTTTAAAGCTTTCTTAACAGCGTTGAATTCTTTGCGCTTCTTAACAATCTCGGTCGCGTAGTCATGATCAAAGTAGAGAAGACGGTTGGCGCGCATTATTTTCCCCTTTTTCCAAGCCTCCCTCAGTATCAGCTCCTTGGTCATAAATTCCTGAAAATTAATAATAATTGGCCGTGGCGGATCTTCGGGGTGAGGTTTCTGCGCCAAGGAGCGATGTGCCCGTTGGATTTTCAGATCCACCTCTTTCAGGAGTGGCAGTTCACGTTTAAGTAGGGTCGTAATGAACTGGGAAACCGAGCTTCCCTCTTCTCCCTCTGTCAATCCAAACATCCGGATATTGTTTCTTCTAGATCGGGACTCCAGGTCCGTCACTTTGGCTTGGAGGGCCTTCTGTTGTTTAACTG